CCCCAAAACCCCAAAACCCCAAAGAGTAATATTAAAAATAGACATTAAATAATAAAAAGTGTTTATTTTTGTTATAATATTTCAATTAATTAATTACAAGAATGGGATCAATTTTCTCAAGAAGAGTATAAACAGATATACCCTTGCATCTAAGAAGCAACAATGTCTACTAATTTGAAAAGGTTGATAAAGATGAGTATAAGGGTTTTCTTCAATAGAATAGTTCAAGAGTTTTTAATGGAAATGAAGTTTTAAAGTCTAAATGGGAAGAGGGTTCTCTTTATTCAGTTTTCATGTATAAATACAATGGGGTAAGATGGCTTCCTTTTGAAAATGATGATTACCGGAAATGTACAACTAATGTTCAAGAACTTAAGTTTTTGACTTATAATGTTTGGTTTGATGATCATTTCAGAGATCAAAGATATTAAGTAATACACTAGATGATCGAAGAGACAGATGCAGACTTCGTTTGTCTTCAGGAAGTTACTTAGAACTTCTTGTTTAATTTGCTTCAATAAAAATTCCTACGTCAGAATTATTATGTTTCAGGCAACTTTATATCAGGCTATGGAGTCATGATTCTATCTAAGTTTCCTTGCTTGATTTATGAAATGCCTTTGCCTACTCTTATGAATAGAACTCTATTAGTAGCAGAGCCCATAGGCGGGTTAAATGGTGAACCCTTGTTAATTGCAACAGCTCATTTAGAGTCAGGGTCTATTTACGGATAAATTAGGAAAAAGCAATTACAGTTATGTCTTGATTAGATAAAGATTAGTCCAAACACAATAATGATGGGTGATTTCAATTTCGATTCAACTTACGATGATCAATAAGCAATTATTATTGAGAATGGATTTACAGATGTGTTCTTAGATTTAAATGAAGGTGTGGAATAAGAAAGTATGCTGAAAAATAAACATTATACCCCTTGGAGACCAGATAAAGTAATATCTTAAAAGATTAATTCTAACTGGAGGCCTCATAACATTTAAATAGTTGGAAAATTCTGTATTCCATAATTTTAGAAAGATAGTATATATTAGCTAAGTGAAGATGGTATTGTTAGGACACCTTCTGACCATATGGGCATTATATCAACATTTAAATTTGAATCGTAAAAATGAATTTACATTATTATATAATCTATTGACATTTATATTAGCAATATTGGGGTTTTGGGGTTTTGGGGTTTTGGGG